TGTAGGTAATAGAATTAAAGAAAAAAATCGTTATGAATTTCAGTAAATAGAGGATGTATCCGTTGCCTAGGATGAATATAATTTTCATCAAGTAACATGTTTTTTATGATTATGTGAAAAGATATCTTAGTATTCGTATTTACACTTTATTCAATTCCTTGATATATATTAACACACTTAAATATAACGTATGTAATTTAAAAGTAAACTTTATCTCTCTTATTTTCCCCACTAGACATAACAAGAGGAAATGCGGGCAGCTTTGTTTCCACCAAACGTCATTTAGCGTTGCATATTGAAATCTACTATAGCATTCGTGAAAAGGAACAAGTATACCAAACCTTAGTTACAATATCTGCTGTATTTTTCAGCCTCTTCCAAAGCATTGACGGCTATTAACTCAGCATATGAATCATTGGCCCAGATCTGCTGTCCACTACAGAGAGCTATTTCACAGCATGTATTCATCATTGATATAGGTACGCTGAGTGACAAAGGGTCATATTTAATCACTGCTTCTTCGCCGGTAACTTTGTCGTTGTGATAGACAAATTGTCGTTAATGGCTTCCATGTCATATTGTGTCACTTCTTCACCGGTAACTTTGTCTCTGTGATAGACAAATTGTCGTTGATGTCTACCCTGTCATATTGTGTCACTTCTTCACCGGTAACTTTGTCATTGTGAAAGACAAATTGTCGTTGATGACAACACTGTCATATTGTGTCACTTGTTCTTCGGCAAATTTGTCGCTGTGATAGACAAATTGTCGTTGATGTCTACCCTGTCATATTGTGTCACTCCTTCACCGGTAACTTTGTCTCTGTGATAGACAAATTGTCGTTGATGTCTACCCTGTCATATTGTGTCACTTCTTCACCGGTAACTTTGTCATTGTGAAAGACAAATTGTCGTTGATGACAACACTGTCATATTGTGTCACTTGTTCTTCGGCAAATTTGTCGCTGTGATAGACAAATTGTCGTTGATGACAACCCTGTCATATTGTGTCAATTTTTCACCGGTAACTTTGTCGCTGTGATAGACAAATTGTCGTTGATGACAACACTGTCATATTGTGTCACTTGTTCTTCGGCAACTTTGTCGCTGTGATAGACAAATTGTCGTTGATGACAACCCTGTCATATTGTGTCACTTCTTCACCGGTAACTTTGTCGATGTGATAGACAAATTGTCGTTGATGACAACCCTGTCATATTTTGTCACTTCTTCACCGGTAACTTTGTCGTTGTGATAGACAAACTGACGTTGATGGCTACTCTGTTATTTTGTGTCCACCTGATCCATTCTCTCCCTCCTTTGATATCTAATAGTTAAACAATAGACCATATTCCATATGCGGCGTATTATATTGGTGATTAAAACAAGGACGAACCGATAGTGTTATCAAGGAATTACCGTCATATGCTGTAATATAAGATTATTACGACAATATCCACCAAAATAAAATAGTCATCGTTAATACTTGACTTCAACTAACAAAGAGAGTACTTTAAAAGTAGCACAGGAAGACCGGTAAATAAGATACACCTAGGAGATATATCATGTACATGTTCAGGAGTGCACGGGAAGTTCCCGAGAAGTGACCCTTGCACGTAAATTGACGCGACTGATCTTTTTTCACGATAAACACCTATATTTCCAAATCTATAGTTGGTAGAATGACTCAAATAATAAATAATAGACAAATGATGTAATATATTGACTTTGGGCAACCTCTTCATCTTTGACATATATTCCGATTGCTGACTGGTTTCAGATAATATGATAACTTAATGAGGACTTTAGCCAGTCTGCTGTTCTATTCACTTGAGTGTCTTGTGCACAAGATACATGTCCAAAAGCAGAAGATGTTTGATGTTAACGTCATTGATCTCGTTCTTTGTTAGTGTTGGCATGAGTATGTTTTTGTTCTGTGAGTGATGAACACTTTATTGTTTCAGTGTTACTCTCTCTTCTCTTCCTTGTCAGTAAAAGGATGTTCTCTGCTATGGTTGCTGTAATTGCTGTTGATTACGGAGGTATGTATTCAAATGTATTCAACATCGTAAAGATAATATTGATGATTGTATAAACATAATGCATATATATAAATAGATAAACAGGAAGACATTTCCTGTATACAAAAATAACTTGGCTTGCTTGATAACAAAGGGTACCTCGCCTATACATTATGCAATCTTTGTAAAGAAGAAATACTGACTAATCATGCTTCGGTATTACAATAATTACTAATTATTATTATGACAAGGATAGGGACATCCCCTGTTTATATTTTATTCCTGAACTTCATAAGAATCCATAAAAAACAAAGTTTTATTGCTAGCACGTTTAACTGTTCAACCAAGCCCTTGTCAAAACTACTTACCATCATACCAAGTGCTACCAGATCTGAGTTACAGTCTTATTCTAACACTATTAACTCAAGAAGTAGGGCTATTAATACATTTAAAGAATCCTAAAGAACTTTTGACCAAAACATTTGATTTTTCCACCCTGTATACCACTATAACCCATTCTAAACTGAAAGGACGTCTTCGTTCTCTTGTTATGAGAGCTGTCTTTTCCAAGAAAGATGAACGATGGTGTGAATAAATGGTTGTAAGTTATGTTAAGGGTATTTAGTAAAATTTAGTAAAACAAAAACACGTACAATGTACGGAATCGTAAAAAACGAGTTCTGTCTGACATCGTCATCGAGTTTGGTGGCAAGATCTGTTCGCACACCAGACCACACAGACCTTGTTGTTAGTTAATTTCACTTTCACTTGTGATGACGTCTTGTCTTTAAATAACAAGAAATTTATCGACCCATGGTATGTATCAACCAGGATTTGAAGTCAAAGACACGACAGACTCTCCTATATCGTTCGATCTCTATATACAACAAAACCAAACAAACCCCATACATTCCTAACCAATGGTGTTTGCATAGTCGCAATTGATTCGATAGAAGGGCATTTTCCCATTTTCACGCTTTTCGTGCAAGAAGTCGTCAACTGACAGGAAAACTAGTATCAATACGGTTTCAACAGATGCAGGACAATGAAAATTATGGAGAAGATTAACGGTCGTCATATTGATCTCATTAAGAAAATTCTTTGTTCGATTTAAAGCTGGACGTGTTTGATGTACGTTAGTTTGCCTGTTGGTTCCGTTGTATGATATGAAGCTGGACGTGTTTGATCCTCGTTAGTTTACAGGTTGGTTCCGTTGTACGATATGAAGCTGGACGTGTTTGATGTACGTTAGTTTGCCTGTTGGTTCCGTTGTACGATATGATGCTGGACGTGTTTGATGCTCGTTAGGTTACATGTTGGTTCCGTTGTACAATATGAAGCTGGACGTGTTTGATGTTCGTTAGTTTACCTGTTGGTTCCATTGTACGATATGAAGATGGACGTATTTGATGCTCGTTAGTTTGCCTGTTGGTTCCGTTGTTGTATTCCTTTTTTCATTTGAGAACAGGATATTACTTATTTGGATTAATCAAGTTTTTGGATTAATCAAGTTTACATGGCGGTTGTCGTCGATAAAACAGGAGAAGCCTGCTCCTCCGGAACATTCAGGAGTCTTAGTTTTATCTAATTAGAGTTTGGATTATGTTGATATGTAGGTATTTTCCTCGTTGTTTTATGTTACTGAAGAATCAAGACTTTCTTCCACATGTGTTTGAAATGTTTGATATGTGAGAACTTAGATTTTTTTACTGACTATTAAAATCATACCACGTGTGTGTTGTAGCGAGAGTTTTCCTTGACATATACATGGTGATAATCACATGTGTATGCTAGTTCTATTTGTATTTTTTTATATTAATATTCCTGTTGTTATATCACTTCCGGTGAGAATCTGATAAGATTGTGATATTGCAGTACTGATCATTTATAGCCGATCAGATAAGATGATTTTTTGTCTGAATTTAATAAGGCTTTATATTTTAGGGTGTGTTGTGCAACAGTTCCAACCTTACCTCTGGTTTTTTCATTCACTTTCCAACAGTGGAATTATAAAAAAAACAAATGGATAAAGTGAATACTTGTCAGGAGCAGATAAAATAATTCTTGGCTTTTTCCCTCTCTTTATTGTTCTCTTCTGTGATATTTTTCAGTTATAAACAGCAATTTCGTCATCCTTTACCGTGTCATTCTGTCGGTAATTATATCCGTGAATTTTTTCCGAAGGATACGGAAGTGGCTTTCCAAAGGTAATAGGGAGTGCTATTCCTCCTCCACTGTTTACATGGTATCATTGACAAAACAATTTGATGAAATTTCTATTAAATTTAAATAAAGTTTAAAATAATTATTAATATGAAACATATTTTTATGACATCAGAACATATGACACACAAAGAGATATCTGAAAACTTTTTTATTCTGATGAGTCTTTTACTGAAGATAAAACTGTTTGTTGAGAAAAGTCGTATACTACTCGTTCACAGTCTAACACACCTTGTTGAATGCCAATTTTGAACTCGTTCCAACATAGTTTACATGAACCAAAGTCATGTTTTATTTACAAAATTACTTATTTTCATGATGCAGAGCTGCGTTGATCTTTTCATATATGAATACAATTTTGAACAAATATTATCATAGGAAAATATAAAAAAGAGAATTAAATTTGTAGACAGCCTCGAATTTATGTAAAAATGTCGTTTCTTCAATTGGATATCCTAAACATTAAACTATATTTCAACACGGGAAATATCTCCTATGTAGCATTATCTGATATGCCAAGCATGAAATGAATGCAGAAACTGAAACGGGCTTTATTTGACTATTGAAATAAGAATACAATACTATTTGAATATGAAGGCCAAACAACTTTTGATCACCTTAGAAATGTACAAATGTCTCAGATTAATTAGTGTTTATTAACTTAATTATTTAAATTATATTAATTATTTTATTTTTGTTATTTTTAGTTGGTATTTTAAAGAGATTGAATAATGAGATTTATAACGGTAGAAAATTTATGTTCCCAGGTAAAGACAAGGTAGGTAAATGGAGAGTATCAGAGGTAACTCGACAAGATGAATCCGAGGAAGTGTATCACCAGTCTCGACAGCAACACGAGAGCGTGGCCTTCATGTCAATGTGGGACATGGGTGGAGACCTTGCCTTTCAAGCTACAAACTCTGTGTTCATAAGCGCTCATGGTGTCTACATAGTTACGTTTAGGGCTATAGACTACTTCACAGACAATTTACAGATGGGTAGGTAGCAAGTTTTAAATAGGGCAAACTTTAATCATTTGACAAATACTAATTGATGTGAAGAAAATAGTACCACATGTAATGAAATTGCACAATAAATACACAAGAAATACACTTTTCAATAAAACTAGATAATATTTATTTGTGATATAGAGAATCAGCTCCATCGTTCCTGTTGTCGTTAGTGATGCTGGTGGCAGAAAATATCAACATCTAGAAGGCGAATGGGAACATAGAGAATTTAACCGGCGTTTGTATATATATCAGATAAACCAATTTCAAGCTTAGAAAAACAGACACGAGTTGAGTCTGTTTCGTCTTAGAATAAAGCAATATATCATGTTATGATTATATACTATCATACGTGTAAAAATTATAGAAATGAATATGTTCTAGAAGCAAAATAAAACCGTATTTTATGATAATATTGATGTGTAGTCCTACTGAAGAGCAACACTCGTACAGACATTTACATCACTTGCATCACTAATGACACCTAGAACAACGAATCAGATGTAGGACGCAGTGTAATTCATTATATTGCTTTGCTGTATTCTATGGTCATGTTGTTATTTACCTTGTGTGTCTTACGTTTTTATTTAACATATTAAAACAGTAAGACTGAAAAACTGGGTTCGAAACATCGGAGCCTACTCCTCTCGAGCGTACAACCCGAACAAACTACATCCCCATCACCCGCCGATCATTGTGGTGGGTACTCACATGGACCAGGTTAACGCCAAGTTTAAGGTAAAAAAAATTATAACTCCATGCGCTACGGCGAGTAAAATTTCCCAATTTGGTATGCAGTCAAAAATAGAAATTCAAGCTAAAGTGTAAATTTCTTTTTTAACGTTTTATAAATCACTTATTTACATATTGTTATGTGAATGAGCACAAATGTGATTTCCTGCCGATATCATTGTAGGATGAGACAACAGAGGAAAAAGATAAACGACTACAGAACATGCGGATCAAAATATCTAGTATCACAGAATTGACAAAGGAAAGGAAAGGCGAAGGATTTGTCTTCCTCAGATTCTGTACAGTGGATAATTCCATAAGCGACGACCCGGCGTTCGAGAAGATAAAAGGGTACATCCTTGAGGCGGCAGAGTATCAGGACCAGTGGGAAAGAAAATTGCCATGCTCATGGCTAGCCCTGGAGAGAGAAATTCTAAAACAAAGACAATGGAGACACGTTTTGACACTTCAAGATATCAAAGACATGGATTCCAAATGTGAATCTCCTATTGGTGACGAGGAAAAAATCCAGCTGTTTTTAGAGTATGATTATATTTTACTATCAATATTTGACATGTTGATCATGATTTACTTGTTTTTAATTTTGCCCGTAAAATTTAAGGGAATCACTGCAAATAATACAAAAGTCGTTGGTATCATAGGTATAAATATTCACATTTCGATACAATGAAAAGTTAATGAAATATTTACACGTTTTTGTAGATACCTTCATTCCACAAGATCTGTTCTGTACTTCCGAAAATACCGGAAAGTGATCATCAACCCTCAGTGGGTCATCAACGCCTTCAGAGAAATCCTAACGGACGAAAAGTTTCTGCCATCCGATGATCTCCTCCATACGGCTGACATTACCAAATATTTGCAAAATGCTGTCCTGACAGTTGATCTTGCAAAAGAACTATGGAAGTTAAAAGAAGACAATTCGTACATTCAACATATCGACATTCTTTTCGCCTTCCTTGAAGAATTTGGTCTCCTGGTAAAAGGATATCAAGGTCAGGACCAATATGGAAATCCTGTATATGACCACGACTACACTGTTCCAAGCAAACTCCAAACTGCACCGGACATTAATCAAATATCAAGTCTTCTGAAAGCAAAAGGAACAGTTTGTTCTCGAACACTTTGCTTCGTATTCGAGGAAGTCTTTACTCCTCAGGAACTGTTCCACCGAATATACGCAGGCGTCATCAAGAAATTCAGACCAGCTAAGGTAGCATCAGAAACAGGACCAATCACAACGTATGAAGAAAAACAGATCTACAAAGAACTTGGCTTCTTCAAGGTAGACGATCTATGTAACATGGTCGTCAGTACTCAGTGGGAGCAGTCTGTGATAGCAGTCACGCTCTACACGACTTCGGAGCCTCGGATTCTCGGAGACACCTGTTTGAAAGTGAGACAGACAATGGAGACCATCATACAATACACTCTTGAGTTGAGCCGTCAACAACACTTGAAATACTCATTCAAACTTCACTGTAGGTTTTACCTGCAACCGAACGACATTCCGCGAGACGGAGACGGAATACGGAAAACAACTAGAGGTCTTCCCTGTCAAGGAGATGATTGTGCCGGGAAACACATCCTTATAAATCATGATTGGTTCCTATGGTTTCCTGCTCCAGTTACGAGGACGGTCTGTGTAAGTAAAATCTTTTTGATGACCTCGTTTTAAACACTGAAATTTTGAACTAAAGTCGATAGTTTTTTTCTTGATTCCATAGATACGTATCTGTCTGGATCACCTAACATAAAGACACTTTTCCCGTTTTTATTATTAAATAGTGTATGTTTAGCAACTCTTCAATGTTTTCTTTTAAATTTAGAATGCTCTGAGCGGAAACACACCAAGAACATGTGGTATGTATTTACTCTAAAACGTTCCTGTTTTATTTGCCCATTCACTGTACTATCATTAAGAAACTGAAGTGAATTTAGTTTATTCGTTCATACCTGTATTTGCATCAACACAACAAGCTCTAGAAAATACTATAAAACGGTGTCTAAACATGGCTTTACATCTTCCTTCTTCGACATTTCGGTCGTAGCTCTGTTCTTTGTTACATTACCAATTTGATTGGAGGCTTAGTAAAACGATGTAAGATCCTCAGCATCACTGGTGAGTCCTAGGAGGACGAAACAGCTGTATGATGTAGCATCACTGGTGAGTCCTAGGAGGACGAAACAGCTGTATGATGTAGCATCACTGATGAGTCCTAGGAGGACGAAACAGCTGTATGATGTAGCATCACTGGTGAGTCCTAGGAGGACGAAACAGCTGTATGATGTAGCATCACTGGTGAGTCCTAGGAGGACGAAACAGTTGTATGATGTATCATTACTGATGAGTCCTAGAAGGACGAAACAGCTGTATGATGTAGCATCACTGGTGAGTCCTAGGAGGACGAAACAGCTGTATGATGTAACATCACTGATGAGTCCTAGGAGGACGAAACAGTTGTATGATGTAACATCACTGATGAGTCCTAGGAGGACGAAACAGCTGTATGATGTAGCATCACTGGTGAGTCCTAGGAGGACGAAACAGTTGTATGATGTAACATCACTTATGAGTCCTAGAAGGACGAAACAGCTGTATGATGTAGTATCACTGGTGAGTCCTAGGAGGACGAAACAGCTGTATGATGTAACATCACTGATGAGTCCTAGGAGGACGAAACAGTTGTATGATGTAACATCACTGTAGAGTCCTAGGAGGACGAAACAGCTGTATGATGTAGCATCACTGATGAGTCCTAGGAGGACGAAACAGCTGTATGATGTAACATCACTGACGAGTCCTAGAAGGACGAAACAGCTGTATGATGTAACATCACCGACAAGTCCTAGACGGACGAAACAGCTGTATGATGTAGTATCACTAACGAGTCATAGAAAGACGAAAAAGCTGTATGATGTAACATCACTGATGAGTCCTAGAAGGACGATACAGCTGTATGATGTAACATCACTGTAGAGTCCTAGGAGGACGAAACATCTGTATGATGTAGCATCAATGATGAGTCCTAGGAGGACGAAACAGCTGTATGATGTAACATCACTGATGAGTCCTAGGAGGACGAAACAGCTGTATGATGTAGCATCACAGATGAGTCCTAGGAGGACGAAACAGCTGTATTATGTAGCATCACTGGTGAGTCCTAGGAGGACGAAACAGTTGTATGATGCAGCATCACTGATGAGTCCTAGGAGGACGAAACAGCTGTATGATGTAGCATCAATGATGAGTCCTAGGAGGACGAAACAGCTGTATGATGTAACATCACTGATGAGTCCTAGGAGGACGAAACAGCTGTATGATGTAACATCACTGATGAGTCCTAGGAGGACGAAACAGCTGTATGATGTAACATCACTGTAGAGTCCTAGGAGGACGAAACATCTGTATGATGTAGCATCAATGATGAGTCTTAGGAGGACGAAACAGCTGTTTGATGTAACATCACTGATGAGTCCTAGGAGGACGAAACAGCTGTATGATGTAGCATCACAGATGAGTCCTAGGAGGACGAAACAGCTGTATGATGTAGCATCACTGGTGAGTCCTAGGAGGACGAAACAGCTGTATGATGTAGCATCACTGGTGAGTCCTAGGAGGACGAAATAGCTGTATGATGTAGCATCACTGATGAGTCCTAGGAGGACGAAACAGCTGTATGATGTAGCATCACTGATGAGTCCTAGGAGGACGAAACAGCTGTATGATGTAGCATCACTGATGAGTCCTAGGAGGACGAAACAGCTGTATGATGTAACATCACTGATGAGTCCTAGGAGGACGAAACAGCTGTATGATGTGGTATCACTGATGAGACCTAGGAGGACGAAACAGCTGTATAATAAATTTTCAAGTATTATTTGGCTTACTGTATCTATTGATTTGTATTTAAAGGTGTTATTACTTTGTGTGTCTTTTGTGCAATCTTGAAATTTCATCTTCTTTTGTAAATATCGAAATAGATGAAAATTTGTGTTCCTCTTCAAATTCTAAATTCCTTTTTCCAAGACTCCGAATTGCTGACGGACAAAGGTTTACAGGAAAAGGTCGCCGCCAGGCTTGGCATAAACTGGGAATCTGTGATGACCTCTCTGGGTGTTCAGAGCTATCAACTTGACCGGATAAAGCTGGCTCACCAATACGCTCCTCTTACACAGATAACCAGCGCGCTAATCCATTGGCGTGACACCTATCTCACTGACAGTCCAGAAGAGGAAATGTTGAAGGACTTGTCTAAGGCTTTCCGACAGTTTGGGGTAGACAGTGACGTGATAGATCAGGAACTGGAGATATTTACTAGGTAAGACAAGTCATCGTACACTATATGTACCATTGTATGTGTCACGTGCATTCCATAGGTCGTATTTGTGTATTTGTATGTTGTGTAACGTTCTGTTTCGTATCGTGTTGTGGCGCGACGGCAGTTCCGTAGATGGTAAGTGAGACGCACGAGCAGGAGCTATGACAGGTGTTCTATCGGGCCGTGTCGTCCCTTCAATTATATCATAATTAATACGGGACGGATATCATACAGACCATGGTAAGTATTGTTTATTGTTGATTTCTTCTAGTAAGATAATTGAATAAGGGTTTATTTGGTTCAGGTGTCATTGGAATGTTAGTCATGCATTATTTCATGTGCAGTCCAATCATGCGTATCATTAAATGTTTTGTTATTGTTTGCAATAGTCTTACGCTTGTTATTCAAACTGTACTTCCAAATACAAACATGTACACTAAGTCAGGATAGGTATTTTGAATGAATTTAGGGGTTATATGTATATTTATTAAACTTCAATGCTAATGTAATTTTATTGTGTGGAAGCCCATAGGGATCGTATGATAATTATGTTTACAATTCTGTTAGGGCAAGGACCCGCACCTGTAACTAGGCAGTCATTAATGTGGTCAATTACATTAACTGTATTCATTATCTTAATTATATGTACTGTTTTAACGGATGAATACTTAGATATTATTTGTATAACTTACATATTTAAATAGGAGTTTGTATGGTTTTGATTGAATGTGCGAATGTGACTATTAAAAGTGTTTGTTTCTACAGCAATTAATGCATGCCAGACGATAGTTGGAGCTGACGTGGTTGACCTACGGGACCAGTAGCTGACGCACTAAATTTGTATCTGGTGGTTGTCGCATGACCGACTGACGATTCATGGAGCAGAGTTACGTCATGTTCGTTACTACATGTACGAGGAACAAAGTGGTATACTCATGTCTTGCTAAGGTGACGCCGATTTGCTGCTTGTGAGTTAACTTGAATTCAGCCGCCACGTGAGGCTGTGCAGACAGATTAGTATGCTAGCATTTGTCTCCATACCTTTTGGAGAGCATTGTGAGACAGATAGCTTCTGCGGAAGTCACTCTGCTCTGTCCACCCTGATTTAACCAGCGCTGTGGTTAGTCGTTAGAACTGATTCTTGTGAGATTCGTTGGAGGCCCTGACAATTGACTTTATGGTAAGAGAAAGTGTGTGTTGAGTGAGTGTGGGGCATTAAGATATGTTGTATAGATATTGTTTTGTAGTGATTTGGTTGTATATAAACTCTTCAATCTTGTAACTTATTGCCATTGTGCTTTCTTTTCCCTTGACCTTAACAACCTCGTGTTCCCACGTTACAGTATGTATCTACTATGTCGTACTTATTATTTTCTAGGACGTGCTTATACTGAGTCATGCTTACGTATCCAGTGTGTTCTATTTTGTTGAAGTAGGTCATGCTTACTTAGGAGTTTGGTCATGAGTACGTCTAACTACATCTAGGTCATTCTTAGGAATCTATTTTATCATGCTGATATATTTTTTCAATGTCATGTTTATCTCTTTACTAGGTAATGTTTATGACTTGACTGGGTCATCTTATGCCTTGACTAGCTCATGTTTATGTCTTGACTAGGTCATGTTAATGAATTGACCTCGTCATCTGATGCCTTGACTAGGTCATGTTTATGTCTTGACTAGGTCATGTTTATCTCTTTACTATGTCATGATTATGCCTAAGCTAGGTCATATTTATCTCTTTACTAGGTAAAATGACTAGGATTGATGTTATATATAAGATCTGCTATAGAAATCATGTAACGAATGAAAGATGGCATGATGAAATATTCTAATGTTTTAGACACGAAGATCAGGAAGGATGCTAATCCCAGAAAAAGACAGATCTCTTGTGTGATGCTGTTTGTAGTGATAATACCATTTAGTGTGTGAGGGATCGGTGTCAACTGCCCATTGTTTCACGTTTAAAGTATTTAAAGTGATAAATAGGATAATTATCACACTATTAAAATAGAAACCCTCTTCTTGTTTTCTCCAATCTTTTTATTCGTTCAAACAGAATAAGAATTGCCTGAGAGCAGTGTGGATTGATATTAAACGGAAATTCGTTACATGTTACTGCGCACCGTGTATAACGTTTTCTACTCAGAATTTCAGATTGGTATGTAGATCTACACTGAAAGTGTAGACTATATTTAAGTCAATGTTGAAACTGGTGTTACGATTCCTTTTTAACAATTTTATTCAGTAAAACTGCATCGGTACTTCTATCACTGGCAAGTGAGGAAAAATATCAAATCAGTTGTCTACATCCAGTTCAATGAGGAAATAACACTTCTGTAAAACTTAAAATACAGTGAAACCTCGCTATGAAGACCACTTTGGGACTGGACAAGAGAGGTCTTAATAGTGAGGTGGATCAGGATGACTGCAAATAACGGTAACTGTTTAAAAAGAAAGACTTTATATATAGTTAAGTAATGTACATGTATATTGTTAAACAATAATAACTAAACTGTATATGAATTGTTGAATTTTATGAAATGCATATAAAAAAGATAAAATTGGTGAATTGATAATATAATATATATGTATATATTCCTTAGTTTTGGTCTTGTTGATGTTGAATCCTCATCAGTGGATGGTCTTGTTGATGGTGAATCCTCATCAGTGGATGGTCTTGTTGATGGTGAATCCTCATCAGCGGATGGTTTTGGTGTATTGAATCCTCATCAGTGGATGGTCTTGTTGGTGGTGAATCCTCATCAGTGGATGGTCTTGTTGATGGTGAATCCTCATCAGTGGATGGTCTTGTTGATGGTGACTCCTCATCAGTGGATGGTCTTGTTGATGGTGAATCCTCATCAGTGGATGGTCTTGTTGATGGTGAATCCTCATCAGTGGATGGTCTTGTTGATGGTGAATCCTCATCAGTGGATGGTCTTGTTGATGGTGAATCCTCATCAGTGGATGGTCTTGTTGATGGTGAATCCTCATCAGTGGATGGTCTTGTTGATGGTGAATCCTCATCAGTGGATGCTGATGGTGAATCCTCATCAGTGGATGGTCTTGTTGATGGTGAATCCTCATCAGTGGATGGTCTTGTTGATGGTGACTCCTCATCAGTGGATGGTCTTGTTGATGGTGAATCCTCATCAGTGGATGGTCTTGTTGATGGTGACTCCTCATCAGTGGATGGTCTTGTTGATGGTGAATCCTCATCAGTGGATGGTCTTGTTGATGGTGAATCCTCATCAGTGGATGGTCTTGTTGATGGTTAATCCTCATCAGTGGATGGTCTTGTTGATGGTGAATCCTCATCAGTGGATGGTCTTGTTGATGGTGACTCCTCATCAGTGGATGGTCTTGTTGATGGTGACTCCTCATCAGTGGATGGTCTTGTTGATGGTGACTCCTCATCAGTGGATGGTCTTGTTGATGGTGACTCCTCATCAGTGGATGGTCTTGTTAATGGTGAATCATCATCAGATAGGATCCGCCTGTTTTCCAATCCCTTTTTCATATATGTATATGAAACGGGGATGGGATTTGGGGCAGAGGACGCTACGACACCAACTCAGCCAGGTTCAGTTCATACATATTTATTCAGAAATAGATGAAAACCTGAAACAATACAACACTATATTAGACGGACAGTACATTACGGATTACCATAGGACACAATTTCAACAATACTATAAGATAACAATACCATCACAGATTGGACTTTACATTACATTACAATGCATTACATTACATTATCTTAAAATACTTGAAACTTGAGATTACTGATGACTTTACAGACAATAGTTTAATCATAATATTACATGTGTACTATATTAATTACTATGACATGTTACTTTCAACAAACTATATAGATATACCTAATTTGAACTGAACATGAACACTTACTCCGTCATTGTGACAGTGTTCTTGAATACAATGTATATGATAAGATGGCTATGATGAACAATGGCTTGGCCTAAACAACAAATATAAAAAAGGTTCTCAAAATACAAAGACTACTACAATTACTTCCATAAGATGTACAATACATACATGACTAAATTAGGATTATTTTAAATTCCCAAATTCCTAGAATAAATTAATTACTTTTAAACATTATGGATATTTCAAAATGGCCACAAGCCTGAACACTTTTCACCTGACACACTAGCACAGTGAATCAATTAAAATAAGATATTACAGATATATAAAGTGCACTAGTATAGCACATCATAATTGACTATGTAAATCAGTTACTATTACATTATTAGCATTGAATAAAATTAGACATTAATACATTTAAACAAGTTAAAAGTTCCTACCTCCTGCCTGGTGTCTGTTATCCAGTCAGCACTGAGATACCCCTGTCCAATGCTCATGCCCAGCATGTGCAGTGGGACAGGTAGGGAAAAAGTCACATGACCAGCAGTGGGACAGGTAAGGGAAGGGTCACATGACTAGCACACAGGTAAAGGTCACAGAACACAAACATAAAACATGACACTACACAGCTGACAGCTGGACAATAACACAGGACAGTACTAGACACCACGATACTACACAATCATCATTATTATCATGTTATTACAATTTAATTACAATGCAGAATATACTGTTTATTAATAATATATATATATACATCATCATCATCTGAAAAACCCGGACAGGCTGTCTCTGCTACATATATGAATGTCAATAGAATTGTGAGAATTTCTAAATTCAGTTAGTCGCCTCACTGTGGTGTATAATATGTTTACAGGTTTTCTAATAATCTTAACAATATTCTTACTCTTTTATTTGCATTTTTTTAAAAAGAATGTTTGCTTGTTTGAAATATTAATAAATATCATATAATTTTAATCCAAATGACATTTCTATTTATTTACACAGCAATAATTTGAAGACAAAGAACATAATTGAACTACATTGCATTCCACTTTTATTATAAGAGGTAAACACTCCAACGAAACGAAAGTCTTTGGAAACTGCCTGTTATAGTTATAAAGCCATAGATATGTGAACTGTGATGTCCGTATCTGGACAGGTGTAACTGCTTGTCAACGGATATAAACAGGACATACTCTGTATCAAACATATATTCAACAGGACAGACTTTAATGTAAGAGTTATCTCTCTTTGGTCATACTCGATCATAATAGTTATATGGTCAATACACATATACACTACATGAACGAATTCGTTTTAAATATATCCCACATATTCTTTCAACGCCATCAAGTCTCTATTTCATAAGTAATATCATGTAATTCATCGGGTTTAACAATCACCTGAGATAACCGGTCGGGTTTTGGTCTATGATCACTGCAGTGTGTTTGAATAGGAATAATTACATCGAACGGCACTCCCTACTAGAATTACTTCGTCAAAAAGTTGTATTGAAAAAAATAGCGGAAAAAATGATATCATGATGTCTTTAGCTGAGATCGAACATGAAAATACGACTAACGTGCGAGTGCCGTTTTACCGTCTGTACTATATACAGATATAGAAATTGCCAACATGTTTTGTTTTTAAAAAAACGAAGATGGATGCACATGCACATTTTTGGTCCAATTTGATTTTTTTTCTTCAAATTTTCGAGGATAGGATTTAAGTCACATTTGTTCACCGCTGGATAAGGTTTACCTGCCTAAAACGCTGTGCGACAAAATTGCATGAGAAACAGGTGAAGACCTCTGTTCTAGTGCAACTTGATTAAGGTAGAAAATTTGACGACCTGACTCGAGGTATTCTAACGTCACCTTTCCAAACTTCCTTATAAATTGTCCAAACATTCTTTCCAGCATTGTCATACACAAAAAAGAAGATTTTGATATTTTATCCATTCTTGATAAAGGAAAGGTTGTTGGACCTGACAAGATTAGCCTTTGTATGCTGAAAGCAACAGCCAGAACAATTCTTCAGCCTCTTACTATGTTGTTTAACCGATCCATTAGTGATACTGTTTTCCCATTGAAACAGAAAAAGTTCCTGTTTTACCATTATTCAAGAAGGGAGATGCTCATATTCCTTCTAAATATAGACCAATTTCTTTCTTGAGTTGTCTGTCTAAAATTATGGAAAGTTGCGTGTTTAAACATATTTCAAACTTTGCTAGAGACGATGATATTTTTAAAAGTATCAATCTGGATTCCTTCCAGGTCACTCCACAGTCTACCAGTTAACAAAACTGTATTATAA